ACACACACACACACACACACACACACACACACACACACACACACACACACACACACACACACACAAACAAATAAAAAACTTCAATCTTTTCCCATGCTGATCAATAAACGTGATAAGAACTCTATCCTGCCAGTTGGCAGTGACTAATGGGTTGGAAAACATGTTTTCTCTTGAGGGTCGAGAGTGCTGCCCACATATGAGAAACACACAGAGGATGAGAAAACTTTTGTACGTGTTCAGCGTGATGAGATCCCAGACAAGTTTGTTCACTAACCACAAACGATCCAAGCCACACTGTGAGGACCTGGTGCGTTTGTAGGCATAAAGAAAGTCAGAGATCAATGGCTCAACACCAGATCAACACCAGAGTTAATATTCATCAGGGTGTTCTCAGGGGCCAAGCTTTGGTTGAAATACTAAACTGGTACAATGTTTTTAAAGGTACAGTGTGCAAAATCTCACCACTAGATGTCAGGAGATTGCAAATTGCAGTCAACCAATTCAAGTCCATGACTCTAACTATGGTGGCTCCTAAAGGACAAATACACAAACTGTTAGCCAGCGTTACTGAAACTGTCTGTTTTTTAAGTCTAACATAAGCTGACATTATGTTAGCAATTGTGAAAATAGATAAATGTTTTAGAACCGTGACTTCAGTTCAAGAGATAAGCCTTTAGGTGAACATGAGGGTGGAATGAGAGGAGTGGTGATGGGGGATAAAGACAGAATGAGAAAGACGCGTCATACAGCTACAAATGTTAAATGATCAAAAATTGTTTGAAAGAGTTTGTGAACTTTAAATTAAAAGTAACATATAAGTCATACTACGTGTGTGGCCATTCTCTAACCACACACATATCCACATTTAGGCAGAACATCCATCTCAGTCCATCTTAGTTACTGTATTTAAAATGCTGGGGCAATGTGGCGGCTTCCACAAACTGATACCTGCTCCCATTTACTTTTAATGGATTAATTCTAAGTTTATGAGAAAACATCAATTTGTTATGCATTAATCAATGTATATTTACAAGTAAAACATTCTGGTTTTCTATTAAGTCATCTTTAAAAAATTACTGACTGTGCCTTTAAAGCCAAGTAGCACTAAAACACCGGTCACATCATATACTATTACATAATTAACTGACTCAGTTACTGCTACCTGACTTAGAGAGGGGCAAGGGTACTTTACTTTTTTAGATCATACAGTCTGAGTGTCGATATAATGGAAAACCAGGGAATGAGCTAAATGGACTGGTAGTTACAGAAGTGATTGTTTACTCTGAGCACCTGCTCACAGCTGATTTCAAAACACCAAGACTGTGATGGCATAAAAATATTCAAATCAAGGCTTTGTGAAAGGACTTTACAAATCAGCGGGTGACATAATGCTTGCTACATCCTTTTTTTCCACTGTAAAACAAAAAGAATGAACTCCTGCTGTAGCCTCACAGGTTCAGTACTTATCATTTCCTAACTACTTTCCTTTGCGCTGCCATGATTGGTGGAGGCAGGCCGTGCGGAGGTGTGTGTGTTGGATCCAGGTGTGGACACAGGCGAGGAGACAGAACTAACTTTAACAAAAGGCGAGCCTTTATTATGGCTGATACAGGGGGCAACATAAAGCAGCACGGGCAGTGGCGAAACTAAACTAGAACCTACACTGGGAAAACTAAACTAAGAAAACTGTGACTTAACTATGACAAAGTAGGAAGACTGGCAATGACTATGAGCAGGCCCTTGTGCAGAGTGCATGATGAAACACATGAATCACTTACAGGAACATGAACTGCACAACAATCCTGAAACCCATTAACCTGACATGACATGAGGGATGTAACACAGAGGACGTGACGCTGACAAAAAGAAACACGGGACTTAAATACACTGAGGGATAACGAGGGAAATGAGACACACAAGGAGAGCACGGCTGGGAGTAATCTGACATGACAAGACCAAGGGGAAGCGAGACTCAATACATTGACATGGGACACAGACTTTCAAAGTAAAACAGGAAACATAACAGACGCAGACTTGACTAGGGAATACAGCAGACCATAGAACACAGAAACAGAAACCAAAAGACTAGAAAAGATAAACTATGACAAAATCAAAATTCAATAATGATACAAAACTCAAAACACTGGGTCGCTGACCCAGGACCGTGACATGCGCAGGTTAACTCAATACAAAGACACCCTGCCACCCCATCACTGGCTCTGGACCCCCATGTGCCACCTTATTTGAAAAATCCTAGAAAAGCTCCTGTTTAAAACTACAGTTAATAGTTGCTAAGAATATACAATAGACATTCAATGCAATGTTAATAATGAGTTGACCTTTTCCAGGATAGCTTTACTTTGTAGCCTGGGGGATTCCAGCTTCTTGAACAGAGGGTAGATATTAGTAATCTTCATAGTCAGAAGGCAGGACGATTTACACCGACTACTCCTCCTTACAAAAATGTCTCTTAGCCTACTTTTAGAAAGAATTTGGCTGTTATTGTGGCACAGCTGTGCACCCTTTCATCAGTTTGACACATACCTCTTCATCACAGGGCTGGAGTCAGTGAGCAAACTTTTCTGATGGCCTAGCAGCAAGAAGCATCTGCGAAGACACTGCTCGTTTCATCAGATAATAGAACAGCCTGTATTACATATCATATTATGGCTTCACGCTCACTATGGGATTTATTTTTGATAATCAATGTGAACATCTATTCACTTTCACAACGCTCTGAAAGGCATTCATGGAAGAGCTCATTTGTAGAAGCAGCAGCTTTGTTCTGTCTGTCCTAATTTTCTTTTCAAATCTCTCCGTGCCTTGTAGACCGGCTCATACAAATAAGGCTGTGATGGAAAGAACATACTGTGGATGTACTCATGAAGGGTCAGTCAGACCCAGCCTGTGCTTTGGAGCACAATGCGGCAAACTCACAACATAGGTGTCTATGAGGTGGACTGCACTATAGACAGTATATAAAAGATTGCCATAGCCACTGGGATATCACAGACTGGTTTTAGACTTTGTGTTGTTTTGGAGGCATAACATTATCTTTTTGGATGCAGCTATGCTGATACTAGAGCCAGAAGTGATCATAACTGGACAACACAGTTAGTAACTAATGCTAGCAAGGTTGTTTAGCATGCTGCACCAAAAAAACCAAATTAGCTACAGCTGCCTGTGTTAAGATGTCTGTCATATTTTGTATTTTAAATACATAACGGCGGTACATGTATTTCGTTACTCACCAACACTGCTACCAAGTTGCAATATGTGAAATATAAGCTCAAGCTATGCAGAGTATCTCAGCTCAATCTCAGTTTGAGTAACTACATAAAAATTTATCTTTCGAGAACAACCGCAGCATGACCTTCGTTCATACTGCTGGGGGCGCTTCCTTATACAAAACTAGCTGAGAAGCTCAGCAGGACACAGCAGAGAGAAACTTGTTGGGTCGAGAAACTGCACCCAGCTATCTCGCGCCCTAGATGATTCATTATGCATGAAGGTCTGGGTTCTTTTGTAGAAAATCAATAAGTGCATCACGTCTGAATTATTAAACAGCAACAAGACCTGCACACACGTCTGAGCCGACCGGTTGTTTACACCAGGGGTGGCCAGTGACCAGGAGTTTCACGAATTAGGACAAACACGGATGAATTAAACATCAGAGCGGTTTCCGCTCTAGAATCCCCGCCACCGCCGCGCCTCTCAGAGCGTATGATCCATCAAACAGAGTGAGGACACGCGGGGGCCCATCGACGCTGACTGATGGAACTGATAAGGATGAGAGCTCTGTGCAAGCAGTCACTGAGTGGCAGGCGTGAGCCGAAGGAAAGACAAAACACAGACTATTCCCAGAACAAATGATGAAGAAAAGGTCTTGTTAAGCTTTGAAAAAGACACAGAAGACAAAAAGTGGTTCATGATTAAGTCTATTTTCAGATTTGTTTTCTCAGAAGATTACAGCCATTGGAGGAATTATTTCCCCACTTAAAAAAAAAAAAACTACATTAGGAGGATAAAAGGCAAAAAATTATTGAATCATTTTGATTTTTCATTATAAAAAAAGAGACACAGTCACATAATTTGCAACAGTTAAAGCAGAATTGCTAAAAGGTCCCAGTCTTCTTCGGGCTTGTTTTGAAAAAGCCTCCACGTGCAGCACTCAGCTTCCTTCATTCATCATGTCTGCTGAAATCATGTCGACCAGCGTTGAAAAGACAAAAGCAAGACACGACGTCACAGACAAAGGGTGGTCATTTTCTTCCTCTCCATGTATCAGATTCTGCAGCAGCTAAATAACGCAGATTGCATCTGACTGTATATCAAAATAAATCTCTTTCCTTCATTTGTTAGAGCAACAAAGTGATTAGCATTTTCACAGAATTTTCAAAAATAGCCTTACAACATTTCCATAAAAAGTACACTGCTCCTCCTTCATCAGCAAATAAAAGAATTCAGCTTTTTAGTGTTTGAGTCCTCGTAAAGCTGCTCGTTGCATTCTCTGAACTAATGATCGCGTTGCATTGCTTTTACCTTCTGACTCAATCTGAGTGGCTGTTATCAATCCGTTCCTGCGTGTTTGTTAGATCACATCAAAGCCTCTCTGATAAGTGGTTCATCTCCGTGCTGAGAGACACTTGGCTTATCATCAACCGTCAGGCTACAAGTTACAATTTTTATTTTAGGGTGGTTTTTGTTTCATTTAGGGACCGATGAGCTCTACATAAACATGAAAAAAAAAAAAATCAGTTTTGGTCGTTACTTGACAGATTTCAGTTTTTCTGAGCCATTTAAAGTGGGCAGGGCTTCTGCTCACGTTTCATACAACAGATTTATATTCTTGGACTCTACTTCAGAGGTTTTGTAATATTTGCTGTTCAAGAAAATCCTCATTTACCTCATGCTGGTGCAGCTCATCAGGCCAAACACAAGCCCTCCCCTCACTTTATGCCACATTCCTTCTGACTGGTTGCCTCTCACAAACAGTAAGTTTGTACAGTAAGTGGGTGGGACTTAAATGACCATATTAGGGATATCTGACATCATCAGCCTTAGCTATCCCCTATAACAAACTGCTTTGGTTTAAGAAACCCATTTTAATAATGGTGGCTATATTTTCCCTGCTCATGCTGTACACCAGTGTTTGTCAGTAGTTATGTTTTTTTGTAATAGTAAATGATACTTTTTCACTCTTGCATCTACCTAAAAGGGTCAGTTTACACATTTTCTTTTTTCTTTTTCTTTTCTTTTTTTTTTTTAAAAAAAAGCTACTTTTCATTTCCACCTGTCATCTGCCACTCTCACTTCATGAGCAATGCTCTGGGTGCTGAAAACAGCAGAAAATCTCCACAGTGTCTTGCAGGTTGCTTGTTAAAGCTAATGGGACAATTATGTTTTGTGACTTGAGTGAAATAACTCTTTAATGGGAGACATCAGCTGCTTTATTGTGGTGGTAGATGGCAGTAAGACCAAGTCAGAGAGAGACAGACTGAGACAAAGCTTCCTTTATCTATTTCTCTTTAGCTCCAACATTCCTCTCATTCTGCCGGGCACGACCTGACCATGACCAACGCTGGCTGTGCCTCTGTCTCGCTGTCCTCTGGGAGCTCTTTGATATTTTTAGTGTATCCCTACAAGGACAGCAGGTCACTCACTGAGGCCACTCGCAGAAAATGGGTTCTTTTCAGTGTCTGGGCATTGGGATCTTTGTGTTCACTTTCCACAGTTCAAAAGTCCACTTTAATCCACTCGCACAGATCTGCAGAACAGATGCTCACACAGTAGTGTTATAAAAATACAGCTTTGCTTGTGCTACAATAACCATGGCAACTTGATTGTGCTACTCTTACAGTGATAAAAAAAAACCTTTCTGAGTCAGAAAGTTTCAAATGCGAACTGCTACGACAAAGGTATTAATACACAGGCTTTGGGTTCTTTTTTCCAGAGCCGATGAAGTGAAAGTAAATGAGAGAGATTCTCTTCTGCAGAAATCTTCGCTCCTGCTTTCTCACTAAAATAATGTGACAAAAAACAGCATGTCTGACTGAGCCAATCGCTTCTGTCTTTGGTCTGTCACTTAATGATCTGCTCAAATAAAAACGCACCTCTTTCATCTCTTTCTGCTGACAGCTAATTATCCTGCTCCTCCTCAGCTCAGAAACAACTTTCCAGCAGCCCTCCCTCCAAAAGCTGCCCGTCCCTCCACCCGTCTCTCTTTCGACTCTCCATCAGGATTTTGTGGAGATCACTGGAATTCGCTTTCAGTTCAGCCACAGCGGGAAGATGATTTTGGAAATCTTTATCATGTTGGTGTTTCAGTTATGGTCAAATTATGAGCCTGGATCCAAACACACAGCTCCTTCGCCTTCCAGGCAATCAAATTTTTATGGTACAAACAGTTGCTGAGTCACAACAATTCTGCAAAGATGAGTGGTTCAAAATTCCTCCACAGAGCTGTAAAAGACTCATTGCCAGTTATTGCAAACGCTTAATTGCAGTTGTTGTTGCTAAGGGTGGCCCAACCAGTTATTAGGTTTAGGGGGCGAACGCTTTTTTACACAGGGCCATGTAGGTTTGGATTCCCCCCCCCTCCCCGAGCTTGGTTCTGCCGGAGGTTACTTCCTGTTAAAAGGGAGTTTTTCCTTCTCACTCAAGTGCTTTCTCATCAGATGTCGTCTGATTGTTGGGATTTCTCTCTGTAATTGTAGGTTCTTCACCTTACAAGAAAAAGCGCATCGAGGTGACTGTTGTTGTGATTTTGCGCTATATAAATATAACTGAAACAAAAGTTTAAGTGTGTTCCAAAAATCCATTTTGGAGAAAGTTCTCTTCCAGGTTGGCTCAAGAAGGAACAGGAATCATTTCTTTAGGGTGAAGCTGAGGGTCAAAAGGCTTCGCCCTCCTGCAGTAGAAAGTGCTGCGTGACATTTCATATCGACTGAACTGAAAGGAGATTCCTCGCTAACCTTTTCCATCTTACACATTCACATCCTTTCCGCCTCTCCACCCCTCACTTCCGTCTTCTTTTCCCGAGCCTGCGCCTAACTCCTAACACTTGAGTTTTATGTTAAATGAGTCTAAATGTACATTATAGCTGCAGCAGCGTTTGTATGATTTATACCAAAAATGCAATGAAATGTCCCTTTAAATAGAGCGAAAATATCGTGGTGCTAAATACAATAGTGTTTTATCTTAATACTGATAAAATAATATAAAATTTAATGTTTGTGGTTACACTTGCCAATAACTGTCTGTAACATTTTAGCCCATTTAAAGGATATTTCATCTCACTTAAAACATTCATTGTTACATCATCATTACATTACTGAGGAAGGCATGATATGTTAGACACCTGATATACATAAGAAATACACAGTGAATAAATCAGAAGCATTAAAAAACTGCACAAAAAAGAGTCCCGCTTATTTCCTCTGTTGCTGCTCATTCATTGTCTCATGCTGGTCAGTTTTTGTTTTCATTCATTAACAAGATTCTTGAAGCGCCCAGCTGACCTCAGATCAGCCGTGTTAGAAAGCAAGGCGTAATTACCGTGACCTTTCAGCTAATCCCACATCCGGAAATCAGATTAAAAAAAGATAAAGAGCCCTCGGTTCTGGAAGTACGTGTTCTCTTTTCCTAAAGTAAAGCCCAGAGAAGATCGAGTTGAAAAATTGAAAAGTGGCAGTGAATTTTTGATTTGCAGTACTCGCTGCAGTCTGTTTGAATTACCTCCACACACATTTCTGGGATGGACACTAAGAGAAAAACTTCAAATTCTTTTTGAAATCTACTGAACTGGTTATTTGGCCGCAGCTCTGTGTGTTACTCAAACGACAGCAGGTCTGGATGGTGCTCCATGTCTTCAGTGCTCCCTCCAGTGGCTTTGCTACAGGGGGCGCCATTCCCCAGCAGGACATCCTCGCCCAGGCTGATGCGGCAGGGAGTTTTGCCCGAGCAGGGAGTGGAAGCCAGCCGCGAGTCTGGCCCCGGCGCCTTCTGCCAGATATCGCATTGTTTGGCTTTGGACTCCAGAGGGGGATCTTTATTGATGAGGTCTGGTACAGAGAGCTGGAGCTGGAGCCCGTGTTCATCCATGCCTTCATCAGAGCTTCCCACTTCTACGCCATCCTCTTCTCCACCTATCACTGTATCCACGTTGTCATTGATCTCAGCTGTCTCAGAATCAGCTCCGGGTTTCCTCTCTGCTGGGCCCGATGGCCTCTTTTCCTCCTCCTTTCCCTGTTGCTGCTCCTCCTCATTCCTTATCGCCTCCTGAGTGATGGGGGATGTCTTCTCAGGGGAGGAAGGGAAGGCGGAAGAATCCACAGGGTCGGGGGAGGAGACCACGGGGTCAGAGGAGATCATCATGTCCTGGGTCGTCTTCAGTGCTCGAGGGAGGCGCTTCTTCCCCGATGGGGGTGGAGGGTCCAGCCGAGGGAAGGAGTCAAAGGAGGTGATGTGGCTGGAATAGAAGAGAGGAATAAAGGTAGGGGGAGAAAAGGGAAAATGGAGATTAAGGGAGGCAACGAAAGACAGACAGAGAACGTTTAAGTGGTGACTACAGTTGAAACTTCTGCCATATGCTGCCACAAAGAAGAAATCGATTCCTAAACATATTTTCTGCTGATGAAGTTTAGCTGCTTGAATTGACCAGAGCTGTTCAAGCTTAAACAGCATGTTTACAGCCTCATGACTCCCCTTGGTGGTCGTCATGGCAGATCATCAGCCTGCTTCTCAGCCTATCCCCAGCATCTATCCCTCTGCATGCCTTCCTTCACTACATCCATGAATCTTCCCTGCGCTCTTCCTCTTTTCCTCCTTCCTGGCAGCTTCATCTTCAACATCCTTTGTCCAAACAATCTAAGTCTTGCCTCTCTGACTTTGTCTTCATACCGCTCGATCTTTCCTGTTCTCTCCCAACAGAAATCTTCAACTCTGCCACCTCCAGATTCAGTCTCTCTTTCAGTGGCACCCTCTATAAACCATAAATCATAGTGTAGCAGGTCTACTACCATCATGTAAACCTTCCCTTTCACTCTCACCACTATCCATCTGTCACAAATTGCCCCTGACATTTGTCTCCACCCACTCCACCCTGCCTGCACTGTTCTTCACCTCTCTCGGGCACTGTCTGTTGCTTTACAAAAACAATTTAGGCTCTGATAGATGGTTTCCTCCTTCATAACAACGTTACGTTGTGTAAAACATCCTAGAACTGCATTTGGATGCAGATAAAAGTAGATGACCTGTCACAGAGCCTACATACAGGAACAAACACTGAAGCTAGGGTTTGTAATAACTAAGGAAGCAATCCATACATAACCCATATGTAATGCTGCATTTACAATAGGCACAAACTATTCAGGCAAAGAAAAAACGCAGCAAAATGAACTTCAGATTTTGCAGTCGGTACACATTAAAACTGTGGGCGGGACTATGACTAAACATGTCAAGAAAAATTGACAGCTAATTGGCTGATGGCCCCGCTGTGCAAAATAATAGAATCCTGTCAGGGGCCGTTTGTTGCATCAAAGAACCACCAATTGTTTCATATTTTAACTGAATGAAACTTTGTCGAACAAAAGCCATCCAAAGTTTGCATGCCGCTTCAGCTGATAGAAGAATGAAACCTGGCAGGATGACTCAGACTTCAAAGCTGCTCTTGCCTACTAATAAGAACAAGCTGAGTGACGGAGGAGGAAGGCGGCTGTAGAGAAGCTACAAGAGCTTAAACCTACATTCGCTCGTGTTCGGAGCTCCTCACTGAGTTCAGTGAGCGTGTTTGCAAAAAACACTCTAAATTCTTAAGCTGTTCCAGACGACGTCAGCACGTAATCCTGTAGCTAGAGGCCAAGGCGATCACAAATTATTACTGTTGTGTGACCTTTCACTGCAGCTGACAGGTGGAGACAGTTCAATAAGCACTGCTGTGCTGTCTGTCCTCAGAAAATGCACTTTTTTGTCACAAAAACAGCATCATTAACATCAAAAACCCAAGAAAAAAACATAAACCTTGTTAAGGAGGTCAGAGGCTTTGCAGGACTTGCGTTGTCTGGGGAACAGGGGAAGGTCCTGCGCACCTCATCGCATGCATTCACGTTTCAAAAATGAGAAGTGAGTCAGCTATAAGTCTGCCGAACCAGCTGGTGGTCCAGAACAATCTTTAGATCGCTGCTAAATGAAGCTAAATCTGTTCTGGGTGCAGCGAATGGAGATAAATGGAACCTGAGCGGCTGAAAAATGACTTTTACTCGGCCAATCTTCAGGAGAACAGACGAAAAATCCTCCAAAGTACGTTTATGAGAGTACATAAACATGTCAAATCGGCATATTCAAAAAAACAAAAAATAAAATAAACCCCCTGAAACTGAAAACTTCAAAGTGAAAAACTGGCTTATTCAATTCCAGGCATCTCCCAGGCACCTCTGATGTATCATCATTAATTTAAAGCCACATTTCACAGGAAAAATCGTAAATTATTCACCTTTTCTGACCCACAGCCCAATTCTGCAGTGATAGATACGTCCTCTGCTCAGTATAGGTAATGGAATATTTTTGAATAAATTAAGATACAGTCTTTCAGTGGGTTTATTAATTAATTAGACGTGTGGAAAGGCCTCCGAGTTTCACATATTCATCCTAAAATCTTTTGACGTAGAAGCCTGTTAATTATTTGGGGGGAGCGGTTTGCTCAGTATTAAGATGAAGTATGAATGTGTGTGTGGATATGAGGGTGCATACCTGCTGGCAGCAGTCTCACTGAGTTGCTCCATGCAGCTCCAAACTGCACCAACATTCTTGTTGACCTCCGTGACCCCAATGTCTCCGAGGTTGCTGGGCTCTTTTCTTCTTAGCAAGTCATTGACCTGAAAGAAGGCGAGACGAGAAGGAGAGAAAGGTTTAACCTTTGCAGGTAGTTTTGATACAAATGTTTATCGGCTCAGCTGAAAGAATAAAAAGAGCTTAAACCTGCGTCCCTTTCAATAAGTCACACTATATGAGCTTATTTCAAAGGGTAAAAGAATACAGGACCTGCTGAGCTCAATGTCCCGTTTCTGCTTGTGTCGCACTAACCTTTGCCCCGACTGCCTTGCCCAGGTTAATGGCATTTTTCAGCCTCTGCTGTCCTCCAGAGGAGGGCGAGTCCACGCAGCTGGACCCCGGGTTGGAATTAGTCATCGCCGCGGCGCGCCGGGTCGAGGACGGCCCTGGCCTCGAGGTCTGGGGACTCTGCTGCTGCGCAATGGAGTTCTCAAACATACTTTGATCAACTGTTCACAAAAGAAAAATGGAGAGGGAAAGAGCAGAAAGGGAGAGAGAGAGGGGTAGGTGAATACACAGTAGGACTTCAAAAAAAGAGCATGTCTGCTTTTAAAAGAGCATGCTGCAAAGCTGCAGGCCTTTCAAGTCTTAGGCAATACTGGTGGGATTTTTTACTCTGGGATGCACTAACTTGGATCTTGAGAGAAAACAAAGAAATATTCCACTGAAACGAACACTTCTGATTGGTGTTTTAAAAAGTTATTTTATTTTTTTCCCCTTTCAAACTACTGGGCAAACTTTTCTAACCAAATTCATCTTTTGTAGAGTGTTTCTTCAAACATGTCACGTTCTTATGACGCGCTCTGCAGCTTTGCATTGTAACACGACGATTCAAAGGTTTTTCATGACAATGCATTTACATGGGAGGGATCTAGCTGGCAAAGCGTAGTAGATCCACTGATATCACAGAATAATACATAAAACAATACAACAACAAAATAACACCACTGCAGCAACACACGCACAAACATAGGCGGGAACGATCAAGCAGAAAAATACAGGATGAGAAAAAGCAAAAAAACTTAAACAAAACAAAAAGGCAGCTCAGGTTCAGTCCACTTAAGACAGACGATCTTACCTCTTGGAGAGAAATAGTTCTCGGAAAGCATTCAGTAAGACACAAAGTATCAGATATCAATCATTGTACTAGTCAAGCTGTTTCTGCTTAGTCATACAGTACTGCTACAAGGGGACACTTTGAGGAAGGCAACAGCTAAAGAGCACAGCTGCAGCTGTGTACGCATATCTGAAAGGTACATTGTCTTCATCAGATAAATGTGGAGAAAATATAGCTATTTGGAATCAGATGGCGTATCAAAGGGTAACCTTGACTTCTCTTGTGCACACACAAATATTTCACTTGCCATCCCAATCAGGAGATCTGCAAAAAGCCCATTAGACAAAAGGCCAGAGGAAATGTGATCTGATATTATGAATCAACTGGATACAGAAGGCATCGACTTCAAGGAGAGAGAAAGAGCTAAGTGAAGAACAGAAAAGGATACGTTTTGGTACTTTAGAGCGCGCAGAAGGCAGAGAAGAGAAGTGCAAAGAAAAGAAATGTCAAATTTGGAAGTACGATCGAAACCTTACAGATAATCTTACTATTTTGGCGCCACCTGGTGGGTAAAATCAAACCAATAAACAACAACAGTCCTCGTCTGTAAATATCTGGTGCCACAGCAGTTGTGTGTTTTTAAGAAAGTGGCAATGTTCAGCCCGTTTTCTGAAACAGCCCAAACATTTGCACAATATTAACTGCACTGATTTTCAAATATCTTTAGCATTTGCAGCAGTAAATATAAGCAAAGTGACGATGCGACCTCAGGCTTAGAAAATTAGAATATTTCAGTATTTTCTGATGTTATATATCTCAAACCTTTAATTGGTTCAACAGGCAATCAGTTAGTGGTTTATGTGATACTTAACAAAAACAATATTGCAGAAAATAATGCTCTTTAAGAGTTAGCTAATACAGTACATCAGCGAGCAAGTCATTAGCATCACTAACCATAACTCTGCACTTCCTGCCACCAAATAAGTGCTTATTATGTGTGCATCATTCTAAGTTTCTGTGTATTGGCATGACTGCAATTTATGCTTTTGTGTTCCACAAACACACTTCTTTAAATAATTCAACTAAGCATTTTTCCACAAATGACAAACAGGTTCTTGACATTGCTAACAAATGGTATACTGGCACAGATTTGCTTAATTAAAGCTGTGATGAAACTGGAGGCTAATTTATGAATCTTTCTGGAATGTTTGGCCTGCCTGCGAACATTATTCTTATCTTCTGACTGTTTGTCAAGGTAATCGAGTGATCTCTGGATCAATAGTCTCCTGTTCCATTGGCCAAAAAACATCCTTGTTGATCCCACCAGACAATGAGGCCACACACTTCTACATTACCTTGCAATGGAGAGTCAACGGAAAGACCTTGTAATGTAGTAACCCCACAGTAGCCTGTGAAGGGCACCAGGAAGAGAGGTGTTTGTGATACAGCCTTCATTGTACTCTGAAAAATGTATGTGTAAGTCTCAACGTTAAATGTTTTTGCAGGTTTCCTCTCTGCATGGTGAAAAGGTGAAACCCGCTGTTTGAAAATGAGCCAGAGTGTCACTGGCTGGCTCATTTACACACAGATGCAGTTAATCATCACTATTTATGGGCATTTCACTGCTGGACAGTCCCCGAGCCAGCTCTGAACCGCTGTTGCTTTTATGGCTCACTAAAATGAATGCAAATTCAAAGGCTTTCCATTGTGCTATGTTAAAATGCCAGCATTTCCACTGGGACTGGAGGTCAGCTCGTCCTGGCTAAATATACCATCAGTGAAACACAAAAGACTTAAAGGTTTTAAAACAAAAAGATATTTAGTCTTCATGGACATTACTGGCAATGCATTTCTAAGTGTAGTGCTGGATGAATGCATTTCCTGCCAGCAGTTTATATTAAATGGACAATGAGGACATGTGTGACCTTTCACGCATCTTCCAAAATATGCAGCTGCTTTTATTAAATATATAGACGTTCCCATCCATCTCCATGTTCAAAAAGCAATCCATCACACCAAACAAACAATTAACCTGTTTGATCCACCCAGTCAAAGCTACTGGCACTAGTCTGTACCAGACGTGGTAGTCGTTTAACATTTGATTGATGCCCAGTGTCTGTAAATTGCTGTGTCTTAAATGTTATGGAGCATCTGCCACCAGAAGGAGCATTGTTTATGAGAAAGGCCATAAATCTTTAAAGCTATGTTTTCATTATTGTTATTATTACTGTTAGTTGTTTTAAAGGCAAAAGAATGTGATTGTGGATACAACGGACAGAAAAGACAGTGTTGGTGGGGGGCTTAGGGTAGAGCCCTTATACCTCCACATTGAAAGGAACCAGTTCAAGTGGTTGCCTACTGGGTAAGGTGTTCCGATCGGGCATGTCCTACCAGGAAGAGACCCCAGGGTAGATCCAGGACACTCTGGAGAGACTCTTCTTCTTCCTTCTTCTTCCTTTTTGCACATATAATGTGCAATGTTTATAATGCATAATGCAACATACCAAACAGCAGCATTTAAATTATGATTCATTAATGAAGAAAAACAATAGACAATTTTTGTCACTGTGTATTAAACTGCCAGGAACAGTTGCCGGGAACATCACTAGTTAGAGTTAGGGTTAGGGTTGGGATCAGCAGCAATGATGACTGAAGTGATGATATGAAAATGTAGGTGACCTTATTTGAAAGGTAACCAGTTTCTAAAAAAAGATTTTTTAAAAAACCCAACATGGCAGTGTGGTTATATTTCAAACACTAGGCCTGGACGATTAACTACAATACATTGGTTAAATCCATCCCATGTTTCTTTGTGGGGCCTTGTGATACCATTTTCATTTTAAATGGAAAATAAAGTGGTGGAATGACTCTTATCTCTAAACAAATGGGATCTCTGATCACCTTCCAAAACAAGTGTCTGCTTTCATTAAATATGAATCATGTCCCACAGTCCAACATACTTACATCACAGTCCAAAAATAAGATGATTATCTATTATCTTAAGTTTAATACTACACATTGTGCTTCCTCTGGGAGTGTGACACCTAACGTAACCTTGTGTATTCAGCGTCTTAATGTACAATACCATGCCAGGCATTTTTTAGACTTGTAGTCATCATGCACTACCATCAAGAGGGACTCTGATCGTCCCAAATTCCTTGTACCGTGGGACAATGAGCCCAAACATACAGCCACAGTTATAAAAAGTGAAGAACAAGGAGTCCTGCTACAGATGCTATGATCCCCACAGAGCTCTGATCTCAACATCATGGAGCCAGTCTGGGATTGCACAAAGAGACAAGAGATTCTGAGAACCTGAATTCATAAAAGAACTGAGGGAAATTCTCAAAGATGTGCGCAAACTCTTACATTCCAAGTATTCCTGTGCTTGAAAGTAACGTTTCAACAACACTGGATCCATTTGAGTTCTATACCAAAAAAGCAACAACATTTATCCTACTTTGAAAAGAAAATATTTAAGAATTCAAAAGCAACTTAACTTAATACAGCTGTGAGACGTGCTCCCCTGGTAAAACAAAGGCTCACACAGGTAGAAATCCAGTCTGCATGATGGATTCTTTTCAAAGTTAGAAGAAAATAAGATTTGAAAAATAAACACCAACTAAACTAATGTCAGAGCAACATGTAAACAGCGCACAGACACACAGTCTCTGTATCTCTACGTCATAAAATCAAACCCTTCTGAAACCCTACACCAAAATCTGACGTGCATCTCCCAAGAAATCAAAGAAGGGCCTACAGCTATAGTGACCGGCCTATTCAGTCCTGGTGATTCTGCTTGTGCATTTCCAACTTTCTCTTCTCAGTTTTTGAATTCATCAGTGAGAGACTGACTAACGTCATCTCAATATGAGAAAAAAATGATCAATAGATGGACTCACAAATCCAATTCAATTCAACTTATATTGTGCCAAATCACAACAGTCACCTCAAGGCAGTTTATATTGTAAGGTAAAGACACTACAATAATACAGAGCAAACCCCAACAGTCAGATGATCTCCAACAAGTACTTGGCAACAGTGGGAAGCTCTTGCTATCAGTTTACACCGCATAGAAAACATGGAAGATGACTACAAGGTAATCAACACATACAGTAACACAGCAGCACGAGCATGAATGCGGGCAATGATGTCGGCCTCTTGCATTGGTTATGTCGTAGGCTCTACACAGATTCCCAGCAAAAATCTAAATTCAAAGCAACCTCCGTGAAGCCCACATTAAAAAGCAAATTCTTTTGCTTAGGTGGTTTCAATCATGGGGAGACGCAGCGGTGTGGTGGTTAGCGCCGTCTCCCTGGGTGCTCCCCACAGTCCACAGACATGCATGGGGTTAGATTAACTGGTGCAACTGACTATAGGAAGGTAAGCATGAATGGTCTACGTGTTGGCTCTGAAACAGATGTTGAGGGTGTACACTGGCACAGCGCCCTGTGACATGGACATGGATGGGCTCCAGCCCCACCGCAACCCTGAACTGAATAAATGAACAAAAAATGGATGGATGGTTTCAATAACAAATAAAAGGCACTTCCTTCATTACCAGCAAACTGGCAGATTTCAGTGAGTCCAACTTCCTCCTGACAGGACGCTCATTCACAGCAGCTTACGAGCTGTTCTGTTTGATTTGTCATTCCCTGTGTTGAGATTTACTTCCAGCCTCTTAACCGAGAATTTCATTTGGCCTCTCACGGATGGGCTTCTGTGCCTCAGCCCCTGTGTGATCTCATATAAGGTCACACAGGTGTATTTCTATCCTACAAATCTAGCCTACTGAAGCCTTAGAATTAGACAAGTAGTGCAACTTAGATGTTAAAACCACAACAATGACGCAATGTCCCAGTTTCAAACTTTTACCACTTGCTGTGGTTTCAGTGTGCAGTCTGAAAAGTGAACCACAGATTAAAAAGCACAGGCCGAATTCCACAGTTAGAATGAAGCTCGTGTGAGCCACAACGTGTTTATGTTCCAGCGCGCTCAGTGAAACATGTTAAGCTCCTGCATAATAACTAGAATAACGCACTGTCAGCATTTGCAAGTTGCATGCTTTGTAGTATTAATAGATGCTGGTGCAGAGACTTTCAGTGCCTGACGCTGAAAATGATTGGAGATAATGGCAACGCCCAACGCAGGAAGCATACAGTGGTTATAAGAACAATGAAAGAGCGACAGAGACACTCAAAGAATCCTGAACAAAAGTGTTTAAATGTAAACTTAGACACACTGAAGTCTTACAGTGTGTTGAATTAATGTGGAACCTAAGCTGCAGTGAGTGATTTCATTGTTTGAATTTATACCCGTCTGTGGAACTGTGAAACTGAGAGGTTGACAGAGGATCAAATAAATCTCACACAAAACAGTGACTGAAACACAGACACGGAGAGAATTGATTGAGTCTATACACATAGTGTCAGAGCTTTGAAAATGACAATGAACACTAGCTGCTCTTTTGGTAATGATCAAGCTAGATTCTATTACAGCTCATTACATTTTGCTTAACTGAGGCATTATCAATATACTGTGTTTATTCTAAGGAGCTTAGAAAGAAAAGCGTCTTGACTTCTTTAAGCTGCTTGAAAGAGTTTCAAGTTTCACGAGTTTCAAGCAACTTAAAGAAATCCAGACGCTTTTCTTTCTAAGCTCCTTAGACTACGATGACCTGGATGACAGAGAACCTTCACAGATACTGTGTTTAGACTCCGTATTACCAACAAACAGCTCTACTGCACTTACTGAGGTGTAGTTGCCATTCTGGGAAAGTGTGTGCCCAACCACAGTTTATATTCAAGCAATCTAATTAAAAATATGTCCTGCCCCCGTCAATCAACAGCTAAAGAAGGCCAATATCGGCTAATCATGCTGTTGTGCATGTGCACAGCAGAAGAAGACATCACCTTTAACCATGTGATGGAAGATGGAAGTCTGCTGTCCTTGTTATGGCAGTGACATTTTTAGAGTGATCGTGTTGTACAAGAAAACGTGTTTGGATTCAGCCGTTAAGCCATAATGTGGTAAAAACTGTATGCATGCATGGTAGAAATTTAACTTGCTGGGAAAAATCTTTTTAAACCTAATTTTGGAGAGAGACTTCACAAACTTTTGTAGCAGTTTTTAACTGCACAGCTGCTTTTTATACCTCAGACCTCAGACTGTTGCTGTTATGGCTCTGTACTCTGTCCTTTTATGCAGAACATCTTGTCTTTAAAGCAGCTTGTGGATAATTATTCAAGACCGTTTGCATTTTGATTCAGACTTGATCTGAAACTGTGCATGTGCAAACCCTTGATGGAGGTATGACTCAGAAAGGAGAGAGCATAAGTGCCGTAAATTGCCTCTGTGAGCTGTTTGAGACTCTGCTGCAGCTCCAGCTGCTGACTGTGTGGATGAGTGGACCAAACACTTGTCCCTTTTACCTCCTGCACTCCCCTGAAGAGACGCGGCACCATGTTTCAAATTCCTCTGCACTGAAAACTGAGATGTCTTCAGACAGAGGTTAAGAATAATCATATTCTGGAAAAAAAAAAGAAGAAGGTATAAATGTTAATCACTCCAGTTACTTTAAGTCAGAAAACTCCCACAGCCTGTTTGTTCAGTTCTGGAGGAGTGTGCACAATATTGACTTGTTTACTCCTTGTGCGCTTGCGTTTGTGTGTGTGAGTTGTCTTTTAATTACAAACACGCCTGAAGGACTCCATCTGTAATAATTATCGTTCATTAACGCTGAAATGAGGATTTTGTTTGTTTCTTCGGGAGCTGCTGTGGATTAACAGCATTATTCAGACAACAGCCAGATTAGACACAGAGACAGGGACGCGTGCAAAGTGGGAAGGGGCTATTTTTAATGTGTAATCCGACGTGTAATCCCTCCCATCCTCATGTATACCACCTAATTAAAATAGCTTTTTTGATATCCAATCAGTCCTGCACCCTGAAGAATAAGCAGGAAAGAGAGTGACGAAAGAAACAGGAGTAAAAACAGACATTTACTGAGCACCAAACAAAGGAGTCAACAAAACCAAAGAGCTCACTCCCACTCGTGTACTCGCTTTGGATGCTAAGCTGAATCCAACGTAACGCTCATGCAATCTTCTGCAATCTACAATCTTACAGTCTGACTGTAGGTCAATCTGTGTGTTTGAACAAAGGACGCCTTAAGAGAGTGGCGAGAGAGTCCACAGACAGTTCAGTGGCCGTCAAGTTAGATTAGGCTGTTCTCAAAAATGATTTGTATTCACATTTGTCTTAACTCAACTTGTGGATTTTTCCAAAGCTGCATGCTGGCAGAGCTGGAAACAGCCATGCTGTGTGCAGGTGGAATAATGATGTTAAGAATTAATGGCAGAGTGTGGGTGTTCCTGATAGCATGGTCCAGATGTACACCCACTTTCTTAACCGTTTTGCCAATTCAGGGTCGGAGGGGAGCTGGAGCCTGTCCCAGCTGTCAGTGGGCACAGTGTAAAATAAAGTTTCTTCATTTCACCTTCAAGCAAATGATGCTTTTAGAGCTAAAATAAGTACTAAATAATTGACTATCACATTAAAAACAATGTGTTTATAGGGACTGTTTGGTTTATCATCTACAAATTTTGCTCACTAGAAAGCATCACTGGGGTGATGCTGGGCCTCAAGGACCAGCCTGCAGGACACTGGTCCTTGAGGCCTGGAGTTGGACACCCCGGCCACAAGCCAATCAATCAATCGCCACTGATTCCCATTTAACACTTTGAGGCTTTAAAATGTCAAAGCCAGTGGGTGATGTCATGAGTGTACTTTGGTTGGTGAGTAATAGGTTAATCAAACATACATTATAGATAAAGTTAATTACTTGGCTTCTCATGTGCTTTTGTTACTGAATGCACTTAATACATTGAAAAGCTTTTACCTCGCTTTGCTGTAATAGGACCTGCTGTTTTCTGAACTGCAACATCACTTTTTAAAAGCAGCGCATTTTGTCAATACCTTTTAAGAAAAGCACATGATTTGGCTCAGGAAGATTGTACTTGTTATAGTCTTAGCAGGAATCAGGTAATAGCAGCATTTGGGAACAGCAGAGGTATTTGCTATGTGCTGGTAACCTTTACACCAGTGGGAAAAAAGTAGCTTTCAAGTGCACTCACACCTCAGCTTTGAGAAATGTTTATTCGAGCATTGAACTTCACTTCCTCACTCCTACTTCCTCTGTAAAACAAATGTCCCTACATAGTCTGTATCTACAGCACCATGTTTAATCACTCATATTCAATCAGTCACTCACCTATCTGGTGTTTAATCAAGGTGTAATTGCCTCTGACGCTTAATAGCACCTCAGCTCCTTAAATCTTGATTAAAGCTTTTGTCTCTGTGGTAATGTCCATTTTTCCACGCACATCTTCTATCTTAATAAGTAGTAATGCTGAATTATGATGTGATTATTGAGTACAGTTTTTATTATGTGGTACTGGTAATTGGCCAAATCAGTTTTCGGTGGCCTCCCAGGGAGCTCCCTGTGAGCTTGTAATCATCCCAGCTTGGCTTTGGCATCACCAATCAAAGTGGCAAACTCCCTGCTTTGTTCTTAGCTGAGGGTAACCCACTTCTGTCAGAGACAGCACACACAGAAACACAGACACACAGCGACACACAAACTCAGAGCCTTTTCTCCTCTTCACTGTGAGAATTTGACCGAAGCCCCCAATGTTAACATGGAAGAAAAAATTTACCAAAAATTAAAACATTTTAACTGCTTTCCAACAAGAGTAAAGGCCTGTCCAAATATGAAGAAATCTGCTTGTTGCCCATTGCACTGACACTAACATTCCAGGCTCTGTTGGAAAGACACGCTCTTGTATATTTCACACCCTGACATGTGTCAGCCCACAGTATCCTTTACGGTCGGCTTCTTCTTTGCATGATAGATCTTTAACCCATCGCGCAAATCTGTGGATGGCACGGTGAACTGCATTCACAGACAGTGATTTCTAGAAGTGTTACTGAGCCCGTGTAATGATATATGACAGAATGAGCTCTGTTTTTGTTCACTGTTTCCTGAAAGCTTAAACATCAGAGGCATCCAATACTGATTTTCAGCCTTGTCCCTTGCACACAGCCATTTCTCCAGATTCTCAGAATCTTTTAATGGAATTTTGTACTCTAGATAATGACACCAAAATCTTCACAATATTATGTTGAGGACCATTATTCTGAAATATCTGGAATAATTTGTAGATGCAGATGAACCTCTGCTCTTTTTATACCCAGTCACATTACTGACCTGTTGCCAATTAACGTAACTATTTACAAAATGTTCTTTCAGCTCTTTAATGTAATACTGCTTTTCCAGCTCTTTGCTGCTTCTAGTCCCACGTTTTGAAGACATCTTCATGTTCTCAGTTTAAACATTTGATATGTTTTCTTTGTTCTACTGTGAATAAAACATGAGAGACTAGCAAGTCAACCTTTTTTGGAATTTTGATTGAAAAATCAGTAGTGCTCAGTGAGAGATGAGAGAAGCAGACAAAGCTGCATCCCAGTGAGCTGCTGTGAATATGCAAAGAGATGCGTGCAGGGCTGAAAGGATGTGTGAACTGAAACACTCTCACTTGAACACTAAACATACTAATCTTCAGGCCAGACAGGGTCATTATCGCTGATGTATTAAATTAGAGCTCTCGCTTGGCTACATTAACATATGAGAAAAGTATTAGTACAAGAGAGGCCAATCACGTATGCAAATTCAAAGCAAGGGGGAAAAAATCTGCTAAGGAAACGGAAAAAGGTAGAGCCGCTTATCAATTTATGACTAGGTGTCAGTTTAACATGAATGATTAAAGCGAGGGGGCGCTGGTAAAAGTCTGCTTTTGATGATGAGGGGGCAAATGCAGGAGAGGATTAATGGAAGAAGTTTCTGATTGTTCAGACTGAACTCTCACTGACTGCTCTCAGGCTGCTTTGAGTCTTTTTCTACTTTTTCACTTCCATTGTAAATATTCTTATACAACAGTGTTATCTTGCTGCTTTCTCACGAGATCAAAAAGTCTGCTATTGTACCTTTAAATAAAATAAATGCACCCGATTTTAAATTGGGGACCACTCCTTCAAGGCTTTTTTGTCTTGCAGTTTTCAGCACTAAAGCTACATCGACCACAGACAGTTGAAGTGAAAAACACTGACACTGATATATATATAT